TGCGCCCCCTTTTCCCCCACTGCCGCGCAGCAGCATCTGAGTGCCGCGCGCCATCGCGGGCCGCCGCAAAGAGACCCAATGCATCGCGTTGTCTTTGGCCCGGCGGTGCAGAACTGACCTCCATCCGCCACGGTGCGAGTGGCGCCCGCGTGATTGCCCAGGCGCGGGCCAGTCGATGAACGGGCGTCAGCAAGTGAAGGCGCCGTGCAGCCGAAATGGCCCCACGGCTGCCCTGAAGGCCGCTTCAGCGGCGGCGGCTACCCGCCCCACACCCCGCAAAGTGTGAGGAGCGTCGTGTGCGGCGTGCGATGCATTGCACCCACACACATAAAATGACTTGTCCTTCAAAAGCACTGCGCCTTGCGGGAGACTACGCGCAAAGATAAACCTGGGAGAAGCAGACACATTATTGACCATATGTGTATATACACACATATATATATATATCCACACGGTTTAAAACAGACGATTTCCTTTTCCCAAGCAGCCAATGAAAAGGATATAGCAATTGAGAAAGAGAGAGGGAGGCGGGGGGGGGGGGTGATGGTGAAAGAAGTGACTTGAGCTTCCGAAAGTGAAGAAATGTGCTTTGGCGCGGGACGGACAATCGCTCCCCCGCTCCCTGAAAACAAGCAGGTGGCGTTAAACGCAAGTGTTCACATGTGCAAATGCAACATGGGGAGCAACTACAAATGTGCGCCAACACCAGTGACGAAGTGAGTGACTGAATGCGATGAAAATCCATGGAGAACAGTGAGAGAACTTTCAGGCAGCAGCGGTGGCTTAAATGTAAAAAAAGAAAAGAAAAAGAGAAAAGCCCGCTCTTGTTCCATGCCTGCCTACGTGGAGAACCTGCAAAGCAGACAAGCAAACACGCCAACTGATAATATTATACCCGCCCTCTTTCCATACTGAGTTTTCCTCTTCAGTGCGCAACTTCACTCTCCTATTCATTTTTGTTTGTGTTTTGACTTCATTGCATTCCGCTCCCTTTCTTTTCTCTTCGTTGTTCCCGGCGTACCTCCCTCCGCAGCATACTTCCTCGCTTTGCCTGCGCGCACTGACCCGCCTCCACTCACCCCCCTCAGACAACCGGCGACCAGGTAGGCTCCTGACTTTCTTATGCCCTCTGCACATTGCAACATATCCACCGTGACACGTCATCCCCACTTTTTTTTTCGGTTGGTCTTCTACACCTCAGCCAGTCTACAATAATACACACACACGGGCTCAAGCAATGCGGGTGCATCCACCCTTCAAACCTCTTTCATTAAACAAAGGAAGCGGAACAGAGGTGAGCGAACACGTCCATGACATTGCTCATTGGGTTCTACTGTCAGTGAGCAGGCGAAGCAAGGCAAATGAAACACCGGCCACCACTAGTGAAGGCAAAGAAAGCGCATAAAGCAGAAACACCCCACACCACCAATATGAACGCTTAGGGATAGTACAACAGCCTAGGAATATGCAAAAGAGAGGAAGCGAAGAACACACTCTTTAGAGTTTGCTAAAAATACTTAGTGCGGAGGTAAATTTATATAATGTAATATAATATAGGGCAGGATCTAATTTTCATAAATATATATATATATATATATATATATTTTCAATACGCTCCCTACATGCGGTACGTGCTGGGTTGCATGCAACCATACCTCCTCTTCCTTGCCCACTCGCACCTCTACACGGAACAGTTTCGCACGCATTAAAGCAAAATTAGAAACTGTGGAGGAGGGGAAGGAAATGGTGTCGCTCACGCCTATCCTTCGAAGGTGTACCCGCGCACTGTCTCCAACGCCGCCTGCGCCTTTTTCAACGCTTCCATCATCGTCTTTGTGGCCTTGCGCTGCGTTTCGACCTCCGGCGGCTCCGCAAGAAGATCATCCGCCTTTTGCTCGTTGTACAGACTGCGCACCAACCTTGCATACACGTCCTCGCGCAGCTTCGTTATCATGAGTAGCGTGATGGCTTTGGGAACCTGGTCAGCGACAGAGCCCCTCACGATGCCAAAGTACCCCTCAACCATGTCCCGAATGACGTTGTTAATGTGCTGCTCGTGAGCCGACATGTCGTTGCCTAGCAGAATCGTCACCGGCACATCCCCCATGTTCTGGCTTTCCACGGCCGCTGGGGTCGTTTCAGTAGTGCTCTTTTTGGGCTTATCCTTTTCTTTTTCCTTCTCCTTTGCGTCAGTTCCGCCGTGCTGCGGCGGGGGTGTTTCTGGCCTCTTCTCACTTTCAGGGCCAAATATTTTCAGAAACGACCGTTGTACCAACTCCTCCATCCTCGGGTGTTTCACGTTGATGAACCCGCGCTCCGCCGCAACGATTGTCCGCACGTGTGCCGTGGTGGGCACGCGGTACTCCTGCAGCGACTGGCGACAGATCTCCACCACGGCATGCTTCAGCTTGGGAAAGCTATCCAGCTTTGAGGCGCAGTTGTCAACAATCTTGAGGAGCTCTTCGTACACAAACTGCACACACTTCTGCGAGGGCTCTTCCAGACGCGAGATCTGTTCCCTCGAGAGGGCCACAAAGACTTGGTCCGAGGGAAAAAGGGCGGAGTGCATACCAGCCATGTTGCGTGCATTAATGCGGATGTACTCGTCCGTCAGCTCCTTCCTGGCGGTGAGTCCGTTCACGTACTTGGCGAAGCACTCATTGAAAATGTAGTCCAGTCGAGCACCGCCCATCAATTCCTTGGTTGCGTCCGTTGTACCGCCATCAATTGTGTGGGTGAGCGTGTCGCTAAATTTTTTGATAAGCGACAACATGTGGGCACTTGGGTCTATGTTAGTCTGCTCCAACATGCCAAGTTTTTCCATCTGCTTCCTAGTGCTATCCAACAGCTTGTCCACGTGCCGCTTGAGGTCGGGAATGACATCCTTAATGTGCTGGAGGAGGAGTTGATTCAGCTTCTTCGCGAGATACTCCGTGCCCTGTCTGTCGGCGATGGCGGAGTACGCTGGGTGGTTGCGAAAGAACGCACGCTCGTCCTCTCGTGCGCTCTCCATGCCCTTCGAGTCATTGATATCCTGCTGGCTGCGGTTAACCACCCCGACGAATCCGTGGCGGAGGCTTACCAATTTCCCGGTGAGGGCGTCCAGCGCGTCCGTGCCGCGGTCCATGAGGTCAAGTTTTGTCAGCACACCCACCGTGCGGAGCCCCTCCGGGTCCAACTGCTTCGCGAGGCGCAGCGACGCACTCGTCGCGAGGTCTGTGTTTGCGGGCGAAATGGCGAGAATGATGGTGTTCACTGGGGACACGTAGCGGGTCACCATCTCCTTGATTTGGCGGTCGATGTCCTTCGGCTGGTCCCCCACTGGGTTCATGACGAGCCCCGGCAGGTCTACAAGCGTGAGGTTGAGCACGTGCTTCGAGAACACCTTGAGGTTGATGGGGCGGTCAGAAATGGCCGACTTCCCCGCGATCTCCACCGTGCGTCGTTGAATCTCATCGTTGATCTGCGCAAAGTCAAAAAACTTCTTATGCGGTTTGTGGAGAAACTCCCCCCACTCCTCCTCGGTCGTGCTGGGCAGCTGCACAAGTTGCAGCACGAGCGGGCAGCGGGTCACGATGCCGGAGCCACGCGGCAGAAAGTCCTTCCCCACGATTGCCTCCAGCACGCTGCTCTTGCCGGAGCTCTGGCTGCCCACCACAGCAATTTGCGGCAGATTCAGCTTGACGTTCATTTTCACACTTGCGAAGGCATCGTGAAGCTCGTTCACGACAGAAATTAATTGCTCCATCGCCTTGCGTCTGTCACCTCTCTGGCCCAAGAAGAGAGAGAAAAGCAAGTCAAAAGAAAAGAAAAGTAAAAGTAATAGGTGAAGGTGAAGGTATCCGCTCCGACAACACGGAGGGCTTTGCACGCGTGCGTGCGGCGAAGTCGAAGGAGCACACAAAGGCCCATATAGCTGGAAATAGTAACTCATGTGCAAGCATGCCAGGGGCACCTTGCATGAAAAAGCTTGGCCGACGATTTGTTGCCGTGCACCAAACTAATATATATATATACATATACATGCAAGCACACAGATGTTTTGGTTACTGTTTTCATTTGTATTTCTTTTTTTTTTTTCGAGCTGGAACAATTTACGCGTAGGCCCGCCCGGCCCCACCAGCTCATGCGCCGCAAAGCACCTTGCTGAACGCCTAGCAAACCAGTCGACCGAGAAACGCAAAGGCAAGTGGACGGGGAAAAAACAGCACGGAAGAAGATAATTTTCTTCCTTGTTTGTGCGTCACTCTGCAACTTCGTTGCCTTCCTCCTCGGCCCAGACGCCACGCAGCCTCTGCCGCTTCTTCTTTGCCTCCGCAATCTCCTGCAATACGTGAGGGGCGTACGGCACCGTGACGTGAAGTTCACCCGTCACCATGGAGCGCTGCACCTTCGCCGCCGACGGCGCAATCTCGCGCTGCAGCGGCACCTGGATGAGCTTCCCCTTCACCACCACGCGAATGTAATCCACCTCAATCTGCAGATCTACAAGGGTGGTGGAGAGGAACTTTGGCACCCCCACCGTGAGGATCACCGCCTCCTCGCTACTCTCCTCGTCCAGCCGGATCGGCAACTTGGGCTCATTCCGAAGTAGCAGTCGGCCGTACTTTGCCATCTCCTCCTCAGCACTGAGACGCCGCGGATGCATGTTTAACTCCGCGCCCAGGGCCGCCAAGCTCCCCGCTTCCTTTTCCTCCTGAAGCTTCTTCTGTCGCCGCGCCTCCTCCTCCTCTTCCTTCTCGCGCAACATCTGCAGTCGCTCCTCCGGCGTGTGCCCGTAGACCCGCTCCCCCTTCTCGTTGTACCGCGGTGGAAATACCTCAATGCCTTGCCTGATCATCTCTGCCTTGATCCGCTCCTCCTCTCGGATACGCAGCGCCGCCTCGTCTACAACCGCGGCCACGTCGCTATCGCACTGGCGCGCCTCGATACGCTCCGAGCGCGTCACCTCCTCCCCGTCCAGGTCCCGCAGCTGCGGCAGCGCATGAATAACGTAGGCGCGGTAGCCCTCAACCTTTGTGCACGGGTTTCCCGTGAGGTGCAGCTGGTCCAGAAAGGCATTTGCCCGCAGTCGTCGTACACACGTCATGTCCGCCACGAAGTTCAGCGTCAGGTCCAACCGCTCAAGCGCCTCACAGCCCTCTAACCCCTCGATGCAAGTGATGCTGTTCACGGCCAGGTTCAAGTACTTGAGACACTTGAGGTGGTGCAGTCCCTCTATCCGCGAAATGTAGTTGTTGCACAGGTACAGAATCTCCAGCTCGCGGCATGCATCCCCAACCACCTCGATCTTCTCAATGTCTTGCTGGTGCAGCGCAATTTCCTTCAGATTGCTCAGGCACCCCTCGTTGTGCTCCGCGCGACGGCGCAAAAGCTCAACCGTAATCCGTCCCATTTCTCTTCGTGGCCCACCGCTTTCCCACTCGCTGGACGCAAAGGTGTCCTCCCTCTCTATTCGGTTGCCGCGGGAAGTAAAAATAAAAAAAAATTACAACAAAACACAACAGACACCCGACACTTGATTATGCACACACCCTCTCGCCCTCACTCGCCTTTATTTTTTTTTCTTACGGCCTATTCAAGAGGCCTCAAACGAGGGTGGAAACAAAATATCGACGGACAGAAGAAGAAAAAGGAAACGGTGAATTGTGCGCGACACCAGCAACAAAGTCCAGACGTAACGAGCACACGCGCACGGATGGCGATACACACATGTATAGTGATGAACCAAGGGAGAGAGAGAGAGAGAGTCGGAGAGAGAGGGGTGGGAGCAGGGAGTCGCTTTCACAACCCTGACGAGGGTGCCACGGGATTGCTGAACGCCATGGCCAGCGCCTCACGAGCTCTATTGAAGCTCGTTTCATCGCCCGAGAGCATTGCGGCATCCACCGCCAGTGCATGCTGAAGCAGCGGGGCATCCTCCATGCAGGCGTGGTCACGGTAGTCGTAAAACCCCGTCTTCACGAGACCACGCCCCGCCACGGACGCCCGCAGAACCGTCAGAAATGCATCCATCAACACCTCATAGAACGGCGACGAGAAGGACAGCCGCTTCAAGAGTGTGTGAATCCCTGCCACCGTCGCGTCCAACGACGCATGTGAGTTTCCCGGAAAGACAGCGCGAATGGCGTCACGATGACGAAAATGATAGTTCAGGCGTCGCCCAAAAATGAACTCTCGTGAGGCATGATTCGTGCACGCCATCGCAAGGGTGGCCGTCGCACACGCAGGCAAAGGTGTGCCGTGTGGACGGGAGAAGGCCTGGTTCACAAGCTCTTCCGTTGCACCGATGGCATGCTGCATGTAGGACATCATTGCCGAAACGGAGGCGGGGTACTCGCTGCTCACCATTCCAGCTCCCATGCAACACAACGGGAAACAGCCGTTGACAAAGGAAAGAATCCCCGCAGCGTTCGGCTCGGTTAACCACGTGACGCTCTCGCGGTGCCATAGTCGCTGTGATAGATCCCGCATTGCTTGTAGCGTCTCTGCCTCAGTCTCATCAGCCATGGCAAATGCAAGCGAGACCCCGCTATTGCTATTACTAGCATGGCTGCTGCTGCTGCTGCTGCTGCCGCTGGTGGCGGCGGTGGTGGTACTGTTCTCAGGCAGCGAGGCTGCAGCCCACTCCCTTGCAAACAACGGACCCGAGACGACGACCACCCTCGAGGGCTGAGGACGAATAACGCGGTTTATTTCCTCCACTGGCGTTAGCCCCTCCCGTGAAAACCCTCGAACAAAAACAAATAGCGGCGCATTCGCATTCCTTATGAGGCACTCACGTACACAAGCTGGCGTCTCCTCATGCGGTGTGGCGCCCTTTGCTTCCGCGAAGCAAGAGACAGGTAGACAGAGGAAGGACGCCTTGCAGTGCGTAGGCTTCTCTGCCGGCTCCTCACCCATGACCTGAAAGGACATCTCCGATGGAACGTGGATGCTTCGGTCAAACAACCGAAACGTTTTTGAGCCGAGTTGCAGCTCCTGCAAGTAATCCTTGTCGCGGGCGCACATGGTGACGACGGCCCCCGCCTGCGCACCCCTGCTTCCCATGTTCGCCAGCAGAGACAGCGCGCACGCCGTGCCGAGCTCACCAGCGCCGAGTATCAAAAGCCTGGACGTCATTGCTCGAACTACTTTCCCCCTTTTAAACCGTGTTGGCTGCGCTTTTCCTCCAGTCTCTTCACCAAGAAGCACCCACGCCCATGCACGGACGCGAGAAAAACGGAAGAAATAAAAAAACCGTTGTGGGGTAAAACTAAGCACCGCAGAAAAAAGAAACAAAAACGAAGAAGGGGTGGAACATGGCGCGTTTTCTTCGCGCTGGGAGGCACCAGCGCCCAAGCCCTCTCTTTTTTATCCCCTTACCCCTCATTCGCGTGTCGCGCACGCCCCGAACACTGAACGAAACTTCAACAAGTTTGGCTTAATGCCCTTCTCCTCATTGCTCCCTCCAACCCCCTCCTTTTTGCTTTACCACCACTGAGAGCCCTACCTGCAAAAACCATCGCAACGCACACCTACCCACACGAAAACTGTTTCTATTTTCTCCTACGCTAACTCCTTGCACCACTTAACTTCCTTTACTTCTCCCGCTTTGGTTGCTTCCCCCTACTTTTTTTTTTGTTATTTTTCTTTTTTCTGCTTCCATGAGTTATAACGTCTTTCTTCCCATTTCCTCCCCTTCTCAGGGCACCGGCGAGCCCAAGTAGGAAATACTTCTTAGAGTGGGAATAAAATATGGCTCAGCTTTGGCCCAACGCCCCAGTTGAACCTAAGCCACGTACGCAGTCGAATGTCCTCCACCGCACGGTGTATGGCCAAACGTGCGTGAGGCATCGAATGACTTTGAAAAAATTCCTCGAACTCCTTTCCCTGGGTTTCTCCCGTAAGGGTGGAGGCAACATTCTCCACAATGGTTTGTATGCGGAAGGCTCCTCTTCCCCACTGCTTGTCCACCCCTTCGAAGTGCTTCTTGAAGAGCGACCAGGCGTAATCCTTCGGCAGTGAGGGGTTAGAGACGATCTTCGCAAAGACTGCACTACCGTACTGTGCACGAATGCCTGTATTGTAGATGCACTTCCTTGCAATTTCCTCAACGCGTTCAGGATTTATGTCCCAACAAAGGGCGCTCAGAATACAGCGAGCTGCCTCTTCACTGTCACGAAGCATGGTGTAGCGCTCCCATAAGGCAGCGCTTCGCGCTGCCGCATCATTTGGGACAAGTCGCACGTAGGCTGAAAGAGACATGGCAAGTGTGTCTAACGAATGCACGCCACCTTGCATATAACTTTCCGCTTGATTAAGTGCCCATTTCACAGTCGGAGATTGCAGAGCCTCCTCCGACGGCATACATTTCAACGCCGTGGCGAGGGCAGCATTAATGTAGAAGGCACGCTCCAAGCGTTCTTCCACTGTAGTTGGCTCTGTATTTAATAGCTTTGTGGCCCTTTCGCCAATGTGAAACATGAGATTGCGTCGCAGGTCATTCCTCACGCCATTGTCCTCCAAAATGGCGAGTAAAGCCTCCATGGTGTTGTAGTACTCTTCCCAGACACTCGTATCCGATTCACTTTCACTCAGTAGTGAGGGGAAGATGGCAAGGCGAGCAACGTCTTCATTCCCCATGTAAATGGAGGCCAGGGTGTCTGCGATCAAAGTGCGACGGTCCGGGGTAGTAAGGGCGCCGTAAGCACCCAACAACGCAGAAAACATATCATCATCGTAACGGCAGCGAAAAAAGCCCTTTCCAGAAGGGTTGGCGTTAATCCACGCTGACTCTGCAAGTTCTGCTGGGAGCTCGACTTGCTGTGGTTCACTTCCGCGAAGCGTGACGCGGTGCGTCACCCCACCCACGCCCTGAAGAACGATGGGCACACACCACAGCGTTTTCTTTCGCTCCACCGCCGTCACGAACTGGCAAGGCTCCTGCCGCAGGACCACCGTGTTGGGTGTAGGACGGCTGACGTGAATGATGGGATAGCCCATTTGCGTCGTAAAGGACTGCATGGCTTCGGTGAGTTGGACGCCAGAGTCCTCCTCCAGCGCTTGCCAGAGCTGAATTGTCCGTGCGTCACTGTACTGGTGCTTCTGGATGTAGTGGGCCACGGCAGACTCCCACTTTTGCTCGCCAAGAAACGCCTGCAACATGAAGACCAACCCCATACCTTTGTCGTAGCTGATGGCGTCAAATATCTGCGTGATCTCGGCCGGATCGTTAACAGGCACCTCAACCGGATGGCTGTGCTCGTACATGTCGCTTACGAGGGCTCTGGTCACCTCCATAGCGGCATCCTCGTTGCACTTCCACGACGGCTGCAGGTGGTGGGCCGCGGTGTACCCGCACCAAGAGGCAAACCCCTCCTTCAGCCAGAGCCCCTCCCACCAGTTGATGGTCACAAGGTTGCCAAACCAATTGTGAGAGACTTCATGGCAGATCAGCGAGGTCACTGACTTCTGTGAGGCGACACTGGCGACCCGCTTGTCCAAGAGAATAGACTCCACACACGCAATGCAGCCCCAATTCTCCATTCCACCAATGGGAAAGTCAGGCACCGCCACAAGGTCCAACTTGGGCAGCGGATATTTGCATTTAAAGAACTTCTCAAAGTATTGAAACGCAAATATAGCAGCATCCAAGGCAAAATATGCCTTTCCCGAGTTGCCAACTGTGGTGTAGACACTCACAGGTACGCGGCACCCGTCGTAGCTGGCTCTCTCAAGCTCCCCCACAAAGCAGGCGGTGAGGTACGGCGGAATGGCACGAACGGTCTCAAATACATGCGTCACAGCGCCGTCGTCAACCAGGACGCATTGGAGAGGGCCGTTAGACAACACTTTAAATCCCGACATGTCCGTCGGAAAAGAAACCCGCAGGGTAAAATCCGCGCGTGCGGAGGGTTCATCCTGGCAAATGTAAAAAAGCCTTGCGGCAGTCGGCTCAAAGTGTGTCGCTGCCATTCTGTGCTCGACACCGTCGCTGGTTTTGAAGACCACGCGGTAGAAGCCACGCATCTCTTCCCGAACTTCGTGGGAAAACGCAAAGGTCACTGTGTGCGTATCCGCGGGTTCCCCCTCCAGCAGCAGCCGCAGGGTCTCTGCCTTCTCGTCGCGCCCCGTGATGGTGGCACCGGTGACGGAGTGAACGTTCATGGAGTTGCCGCAGTGCAACAGCACCTCCCGCGACGCCGCGACGTGCGGCACTCGCCGCAGCACCACCGTCTCCTTGCCCTCGTAGCTCCAGTTTTCGAGGTCCAAGCTTACATGCAGATCGTACGCGCTCGGCACAAAGGGGTTGTGCAGCCTCGCGGCGGCTGTGGCAGACGACATCCCCAAACTTCTTACCGCTCCGTGCACAAGCTGCCGCGCGAGCCAAACAATTGAAATAAAACCTGCCCGGTATGTAAATTTACTTCGTTTTATGCTGCTGCGGCGAGACCAGTCCAAAGCACGGCAGCCATCCACCACCACCAGCGCCAGAAAAAGAAAAAGATAAAAACAAAAGCAAAAAAAAAACACAAAAACAAAAACAAGGCGTCGGCAAGCATCCACAAGGGACAAAAGCCAACACTAACGGCGCAGAAAACAAAAAAAGTGTTGGAAACCCAAGCGTCAAAGCCCGCAAACAATGAAAGGGTCACCGCGCGGGGGCGAAGTAACTGGCAAGGCGGTGTCCCCGCCAACAAGCAAAGAGGCTTCGCTCGGGGACGCAGAGAGAGGGGCAAGAGCACCAACCACGACAGCGTGGAGGGGAGAAAGGAGAAAGAGTGAGAAAACGGAGGAAGGAAGGAGCAACGGCCGCGTCACCAGTTTGTACTACCGCCAGCGCCGTTACTGTACTCCACAAGTTGGTCCGACAAGAGGCGAATTTGTGTCTCGAACGCCTCACGCTCGCGGTCGGCGCCCTCCGCCTGCTGTTGGTTGAGCGACAGCAGCCGCCGCACCTCTTCTTGGGCGTTTGCCAATGCCTCCTGCTTCTCTGCCAACTCCAAAAAGGTGTAGTTCATCTGAGTATGATAGCACACTGCGGCACGATCCGCCGCGGCCAGCGCCGCCACAAGCTCCCTGTTGTCTGCCGGGGCAAAACCACAAGTGCTGGTAGCGTCAGGAGGGGAATCCGGCAATGGAGGCGTTCCTGACACGCCACTTGTTGGCAGGCGCGGCACCGCTTGAGTGGGGCTCCAGGCACGCGATGCGAAAGTTTCCAGCGATTTACACATAAATTGCAGGGCCGCCCGCACGTGGTCGTTGCTTGTGACAGATAGTGACATTTCTTGCAGCTGCTCACGGAGGGATTCCACCGCACAGCGCAGCGAAGAGGAGGCACCGCAGCCTTCCCACCAAAATCGCTCTAGCGCCAATAGCCACTCCGTCGAGTCACAGGCCTGCTGCTTAAACAAGGTACAGGAGTTGTCGCAGAGTCGCTGCAACGCCTCGAGAGACCCACGAATGGCGGCAATTGTGCCGATGGCCCCCAGCGTGGTGGATTCAATAACCACCTGCGTGTCATTTCTGCGCTCCGTAACATCGCTGCCCTCCGCCTTCTTACAGGCATCGACGATAAGCCGGACGTGCTCACACATCATCTCCAACCAGTTGTTAAAGATTGAGATGAGAAGACCCTGGAGCCGTTGCATCTGTGTTAGTTTTTCGTCCGGCCCCAGCGACGCGGTGAAGGCCTCCTCCAACTCCGTGAGATGAAAAAGCACACTTGCCTTCTGCACGCCATGCGCCTCAAGCAGCGTGCTAAGTCGATCGCGGTAGCAGCGCATGTCGGTTAATGTGATGCCTCTTATCTGTGTACTGAATGAATCGCGGAGCGACGCCACAAGGACGGAAACGGCGCTCATCAACGTGCGAATGAAGGCAGCGACACCGCTCAATGTGCCGAACGCCAGTTCCTCACGGACCTCGCGCGGCGGGACACCCCCGCGTTTGGTCGCCAAGGAGGGCGCCATAACGGCACGAAGCCGCCGCGGAGCTTCGGCGTCGTCCCAAGACAAGACGAAAAAGTGATGACAAAACTGTGCTAATGCCGCTTGCCTAGTGCACGCCACATTCAGCCGGTCGCAGGCATTCGTTGTGGAGTCTAAGAGGCTTCGCAGCTCAGCCACCTCCTCCTGCACTGCGGCACATTCAGAGGACAGTCGCTCACTTTCCACCTTCCACCCTTGCCGCTCATCCTCGTACGTTTTGCGCAAGTCAAACAGCTGCATGTGAATGCTTTCATTTTCCGCCACCAGCTTCTCCTGGTCCTCCGACGAGAGCCTCAGCGGCAGCTCAGCACCCCTCAGTCGCTTTGCCGCGGCGCCGCCGTCTTCTCCATCGGCGCCCGTCACAAAGGAAGATAGACCCCTCAGTGTTGTCTTCATCGACGCGGTAAAATGTCCACGCTTTCGTCCCGCCTCCAACTCTCCCTCCGCCGCGTTGAGTTTTCTGCGGAGTTCCATGTTCTCATCCTGTACGCGCGCCAACTCCTCCCCAATGGCGGCCATCTGGTCCTGAAGTTGCTTGTTGTGCTGCTCAAGCAGCTGCTTCTGCTTCGTCACGCTGACAACCGCCTTCTTCAGCAGCGATATCTTCGTTTCGGCGTCGCCGTGCGCCATGAGCGCCGCCACCTCCTCCTTGCTTGACATGCCTGCCCCCCCCCCCCCCACAAGAAGCGAGTCTCCTCTTTGTTTCCCGCGGAAACAAAACAAAAACAAAAAAAATGGAGGCTAGCAATGACGCAATGCCGCAGATGCCGATAGAGAACGTCGGGAGAAAAAAAAAGAGGGGATAATTGATGCACACTGTGGAGGGAAGTAAACGTGCAGGCGGGGAGGTCAACGGGTGGAGGCAGTAAGTATTAGACCCCCCCCCCTCCAAAGCTGAGAAGACACAGGCATGCCTCTCTCACTCAATTTGTTCACTCTCCCGACAACGCGGCGTAGCAGTGGCACGCAGACTCATATCCTTCTCTCTTCTCTTACACGCACGCACAAAGTGAGAGAGAGAAATAGTAGCAAGTAAAAAAGGCTCGTCCACAGACCCATGCTTCCATCACCTTCAGTTGATTGCCGGGGGTCAGACCAAGCGCACCCGCCCATCCAAAATGTACGGTCGGAAGGCGCGGTAGGGAACTAGAAAGATCTCGCCAGCGTGGACTGTTTGCTCCGCATCTTCGCCCAAGCGCACCACGCCGAGGTCATCCAGGACGACACAAAAGACGTACTGGTCCAAGTCTGGCACGGGCAGCAGCTCAACCCCCTCCGCGTACGGGGGGTTCGGGACGAGGTACTGCAGCTCTGTCGGGGCAGCCTGCAAACCCGCCTGAAGTACATACTTGGACACCAGTTCAGCGAGTCTGTCAGCAACAATGATTTCGTTGTGCGATAGCCTCTCCCGCAGCTGCGTCGGGGCATCGCTATTCGCCTGGCCCTCGTAAAAGATAGACAAGGCCAACGACTCAATCTTTCGCAGACGACAACGCAGTAGCTCGGAAAGAAAGAACTGAGCGCGTTGCACCTCAAGTGCCATGATGTCAGAGGGCTGAAAGGGCAGCAGCGAGGTGCCGGGGGCCCGCTCGGCCGTTTGCTGCTTTTCTTGCGCACTCAGGCGGCTAATCTGCTCGTTCTGTGCAGCTATCTGAGCCGCCACGCCGTCCACCACAGCCTCAGGGTAGGGCAGAATGTCCGGTGCGCAGCGCTCATTCTCCGTCGCCTGAATGATGGACTTGAGCAGGCTGCTGAGGGCGGCAGAGGTTGAGAGCGGCGGGGCCTCACTGCTGGTCGCATTGCCCGCTGGTCGCCAGTCAGCGACGCCGTCAGGACTGTTCTCCCTGCTGAGGGCCTCATCCAGGTGGTCCTCAAAGAACATCTCCGCCGAACACCCCACCAACGAGACGCAAGACGAAAGAAACACGCACGCAGAAGATTGTAAAGAGCAGGAAGGGGGGGGGGGGAAGTAAAACACCACAGCAATGGGGAACTACAGCCATAATACTGCCCGTCCTCCGTCAAGCCCAAGAAAGAACCGAGCACAGAAATATACACACGCACACCCACATACACAAAAAGACACTGCGACAAAGAGCTGTCACACTTCACAGCAGACATCATTAATTTGCTCCGGAAAGCGAAAAAAAAAAAAAAACTGCCGCCAGTCAGCAGGCCAGGAAGTCTCAGCTCATGGTACATTCTTCATGTGGCACAACTGGTGGGAACACACGCGGCCGTGAAGGAGGTACGGCAGTGGAGCTGAAGGCTTTAGGAGGTGTCCCATTAGTTTTCGCCAAAAGACCAGCTCCATGTGATAATGGAGCCTCGGGAAGCGGCGTTGAGGGATGCTGTTGGGCATTAACAGGCCTTACAGGAGGGGACCCGCGTTCCTGCTCACCGACGTTGCAGGTGCAGTCGACAGTGTCCAGCGCGATATCTTGACCCGACCCCTGCCCCCGCGGCAAGATGCTGTTGAGCTCAACCCACTGGCGCATCGTCACTGAGTTCGCCATCTGCCTCTGTAGCCATTGCATACGCACGCCATCCCAACGGCACCCCGCAATATCGTCCAGACACTTCGCCAGAATCTCCTTATAATGGAAACTTTCCTCCTTGATTATCGCGCAACGCACAATGGACTCGGCTGTGCCCAACTCACTCCTCTCCTTCGCGCATCGGTCCAAGCTCGAGTGGCGCCAGCGGTGCCTACCGATGAGAAACTCATCAAATGCAGCCTCCTTCTCCGATCTTTCCCGTCGTTCTTCCATTTCCAGACACCGTAACTCCTCACAGAAACTCTTGGATTCACACGCTTGAAGTCGGGGCCCAGGCTGCCAACCAATATTCCCCGTCTCTCTGGCGGCACACCCCGGAGACGACGCTGCACTGCGCGGGGGCGTGGTTACCGCTCCACTAGGCTGAGGAGGGGCTCTTGAAGAGGGTTTCCGCTGTTGCTGCCATGCATCATGCGAAGCGCTCAGAAAACGCGGAGTTGGGGGGTGACGAAGAACATCCCCCGTCCATCCATTGCTCTGGATAACCCACGCGTGTTCGGACAGATTTGGTCGACGGTGGGGTGCTCGATCAACAGGTGCTGAGGTCTGAAGACGCGGCGCAGGACGCTTCAAGGCCCTCTCCTTTTCCTGGGGTCGCAGGACGAACGTTGTGGCCGGGCCATGATACTCCTCGAAGGGTGGCACACTCCTCCTTTCATCACGAGCCGCAGTCGACGCCCCAGAAGTCGTCCTCACACCGTCCTTCCGCGGTAGGTGAAAGTACGCGAATCGCGCCTCTGCACCCAGGGGCTGCGAGAAAGGGGAGCGGCCATCTCGTATGTACGCCTGGAGCGCCGCCGCGTCAGAACTTTCCACAAGTTGCGCCAACTCCCTTTCGTCCATAACGCCCTCTGCCCCCTGGTGACGCTGTCGGCGCGCGGCCCCACGCGACTCCTCCTTGGCGGGCGCAGTGCAGGCGCAAGGAGGCCACTAGAGAAAAAGAGAGGGATAGGGAGAAGAGCAGAGGGGACCGTGTCACACTTCAACACAAAAGATCACAACGACGACAACAAAAACGGCAGCGCCCCGCTCAGCCAGAGAGATTTGCAGAATTCGCGCGCCTTCACCACAGGCCAAGGATAACACCAATAAGTACGTAAGAAAGCCGGAGCAACAAATTCCTCTTCTCCCATACTCTCCACTACGAGTCCAAGCAACGCGTATGTGCGCACTTCTGACGGCCCCGTCGCATGCGCGCACGTACACACGCGCCTCAGAGCTCACCCCTAAGTCCAAAAGTCAAAACAGTGCCTTGCTAGCTCCCCCTCAACAATTTCCGCTGCTCATAAAACTCTATTACCCGGCAAGAAACCTGCGAATTGGTGCCACGTATTTCTCATTCTTCCGCTTCACCAGCATCCTGTCCAGCTGCTTTTGCATTGCTTCTCTCAAACCCTTTGCCACTTCCGCGCCGCTTGCATCCCTGTCGTACTCATACTTCCCAATGAAGAAGTGCACGTCGGCGGGGAAGCCTGGGAGTCCCTTCATCGTCGGGTCCCACACCTCCTGAGAGCCGGAATAGACCATGTAGTGAATCGGCATATGACGCTTGGTGAGCATACTGAAGGTGCCTATGCGGAAGTCCTTGAGCGTCTCTGGCGTGCGATTGAGAACGCCCTCGGGGAAGAAACAGATCACACCGCCCTGATCGAGGAACGTCTCCACCTCCGCCATGACCAATGCCTGCTTCTCTCTGTCCACCGCAAAGGAGTTCTCGTCCTGCGAGTTAAAATGCACAGGAAAGTGTCCGCACGCACGGATGACGCCCCCCATCAGCGGCATTTTCCAGAGCGCCTTCTTTGCAAATGCCTTGCAGTTGGCGAGAAAACTGAGGGGGCAGAGCCAGAGAAAAAGAAGCGTATCAAAGAAGGATGTGTGACACGCACCCACCGCACCTTTGCTCTCGATGGCACGCCAATCCAATGACCCCTCAAGAAACCGCACGTGAATGTGCGGGGACAACCACCACAGCGCCTTGCCGAGGAAAATTCCGCTGAAGATGCATGATAACTTCTCACAGCTGCGCGCTTTAATGATCTTTTTGTCGGCGGCAAGGCGAAGGGGAGCGCAGAGAGCAAAGGTCATCACGACGAGCAGCACCAGGCACAGGGAGAACCACGCTCGTGCAACTATAACCGGGCAACGCCGTGTGTACAGAAGCCACATAAAGATGGCGAAGAGGAGCAGAAAGAATACCATTTTGCGGACGAATAATTTATGAGGCACCTTATGTCTACTACAATTTGGTGAATCCTTCTAACAGGCAAAACAAAAAAAAACGATAATAAGAATTGAATGTATAAAAGTCAAAAGACGTGCATGAGAATAAAATTGAAATTAAAACACAAACCCGCAGGCAAGGAACAAGACGCAGAGGAGGTGGAAATAAAAATAGACATGCACTATGCTTTCGCAGCCTATTGGCAGTTGCACTGTGTTTTTTTTTCGTTTCCTCCCCATCCCTCAGTCACCACACCAAACGTAGTAAAAAAAGAACTCTTCTTAACAGGCTCTCTGAGTAGGTGTGCGAGGAATCCAACGCGCGGCGAGCAAGCAAAATCCTAAAGCAACCAAGCAAGAGTATTTTTTTTTCTTTTATCGTTTTATTTTTTCCCCCATCCGCCTTGTCATCCGCACCGCCGGTTGATGGTTTCTGCGTGTGTGCGCGTGTGTTTGTGTCTGCCTTCCGCCCTTTACTGCGCCCGAGGCCCCGTCCCCAGAAACGGCGGGCGCGGCTCTCGGGCCGCGCAGGCCCACACACGCCGGCCACTCGCAGACAGGAGGAAGGCACTTCGCCAGCCGGGGAGCGGCGCGGAGGCCCTGCGATCACCGGCGAAGAAAAAAAAACACAAATAAAAACCAAATAAAAAACAGAAAAGGAGGCACTTTGCGCGCGCAGGCACGCCCTGTAAACTCCCTTTCTTTTCCCAGCCGCATTGCGGCGCCACACGCAAGTGCCGCGTTAAACAGACAAACACGGCTGTGAAGGGGAAACAGCACCAACCTCGCCCACTCCCCCCTCCACAGATCACACGCAGAAAAATATTCGAAGCCGATGGTGCAGACGAAAAACAAAAAAGAAAAGCGCGCCAAGACAAACAAACAAAAAGGAAATAGAAATACAGAGAAAGAAGAAGAATGCATGATGCCCAACGCATTTACGCCGCACAGGTATGGTGAAAACAATAAACGCCATTTTGGTCATGTGATGACCACTCTCTGCACTTTGCCGTCTCCCACAACTTCACTATTTTCCTTACACGGCAACTACATCCCTCCTTCTTCGTCCTGTCTTCTCGCCTCTCCCTCACTTCCTCTATAGCTCACTTCCCCCTCCCCCCACTGTTTTTTTTTTGGCGCATTTGCTTTCTCATTGCAGCGCCCACATTGTGTCGTGCCACGACAGCTGGTGCACCCATCACGAGGGTTGCCTGAGCGCGGACAACACGGCGCATCACCTTCTGTTTGCATCCACGCACGCTCACAGCCTCTTCTTTCGCCCTTCCTTCCCTCCTCCCCCCGCCTTCTCCGAATTCATTTTTTTTGTTGCTGTTGTTGTTTCGTTTGGCGCGTGTGATCCTGCCATACTGCAGGAGTTATGCTGCTGCGGCGTAGCATCAACACGGGACAAACAAAAAAAATGTTAGAAAAAAAAAAGAGAGAAGGTGAGCCATTCTTAACGGGGGAGGAAATTTTCAATGAGTGGCCGTCTTTATCAAGGGCTGGTTTCTCCTGTAATGGCCGAAACCGTGCTCTGGCGGGGCGCCGAAAACACCCACCGAGATGTACACACACAGAACAAAAAAAAGAAAAGAAAAGAAAACAACAATAACAATAGTGGGAGGGAGGGAGGGGGGGGGGAATAGGAATAAAAGGAGTAGTAACAACACAGAAGAAAATAATAATAATAATAATAAAACCATAATGAGGCTACATATGTATATTCTTCAGGAAAAAAAATGAAAATAACAATGTAAACAAAGTAACGCGGCTTTTCGTTACAATAATAAAAAAAAACTACTCCCCTGTATATACATATATACAAGAAATAACAAGGCGGTGCTAATTAGACGCAGCAGCTTCTGCAGTGAGTTCATACAATTGGATACCCCAACTATGCTGTCTAAGAAATCTTAGATATGTCAACACAAAACAAAAACACGTGCATACATACATGTATGTAGAAACACAAATAATTTATATATATATATATATGCATATACATATACATGCTCTCCTTGCCAAAAGAAGCGGCCCCAGTGTTAGAGCAGTTTGAAAACAGACCGCAAGAGGAATCCCACGCTATGCGCTTAGATGTGCCTTCTACAAAAGTAGAAAGGAAGAGACTCCTGGTGGACTTCGGCAGGGCGGTGGGCGACGTCTGGCAAGGGGGGGCACCTTCATACTCATCCTGCGGCCGCGCACCATAACGGATCCGATCGGAGAGGTGAAGTTCCGAACGCTTAGCATTTCTTCAAAACGGTTGACACCATCTTCCACGTCCCCACTTCTTGCTTCCGCAGGCTTCCCTGTTTCTGAAAATGTGGGGTTTGCGACTCCACTCATGGCGAAAGGGTGTTGAGTTGCTTGGGTGTTGCACAAATTCGCATCGGCAGGAATTGGGAGAAGCGAAGCGGCACTTTCATGTGGTCCAAGGCAGAGAAACGGGGCTCCAAACGGTTGCTGTGCTTGGGCCAAGGGCATCATGTAGTTTGCGTGGACAGGCATGAGCGGTGCCCCAGCACCACCCTTTGTTGAGAGAAAGGCGGGATTTTGGTCCTGCAGCGCTGCGGCATCCTGCGAGGCCAACATGAGAAGCGGGGTGAGTTGCGAGACTGTGCTTGGCTGCAATCCCGCAGAAATACCAGGGAAAAGCGGCAGCAGTATCTGCTGACCTCCCTCCGTGAAACACATCACGTAAGCCCTACTGTGATTCATTGACAGTCGACGCTCAAACCGTGTGTGATTTACCTTACTTTGCCTTTGGCGTCACTCTACTCGGGTACCGCCAGGGAGGAGGAAAGTGAAAACAGAACAAAACAAGATAAAAGGGCAAGCACACCACGAGACACAGACACAGTGAAAAGCAAAAAAAAAAAAACAACAACAACAACGAACAAAAAAACAAAAAACAAAAAACAAAAAAAAGAATACAGACGCATGCACGCACGACGAGCACTGCAGGCGACAGACATTCACAAAAGAAAGGGAGAAAAGTAGCGAAACCGCAAGGGCACTTCTATTTGTGTGCACCCCATGCTTTCCCTTTCACCCCCCGCTCGGCAGGATCCTTCACACCAGACGTATGAAGAACCGGAAATGGAGACGTGCATGGAGGAAAAAATGGGAGGTCCCACCAACTAAAATAAGCTTCTGTTGAGCGATGCGAAAGTGGGGCCAAAAAAACAACAGGATAGAATCAAATTAAGAATAATCAGAGCAAACGTGATCGTCTTCTTACTTCTACCCCACTGCGGATTTCCGTCCTCATTGGCTTCTACGGAGTATCATTTTACTTTTATATATTTTCCTTTTCCTTCTTTATATTGCCTTCACGTGTTTGCCGCTGTTGCGTTTCTTCACTTTGCTCTTTATTTACCCCGATTTTGTGGATGCGCACACGCGAAAACGAAAAGAAGAACGCAGCAATAAAAAAAGCAGGATAAGGGCGGTGCTCACGCCCCTCGTACCTGCTACGACCGTCATGCCTTGTCTACCCTCTTATAGAAGTAAAGAAAAGCCAATGAGAACGGCGGTTTGCGAGACTCTGCGACCTTCTCATCATTAAACAGCAACCATTTGCCAGTCTCTGCGTCACAAACATGACAGACGTAATGTCCTACGTTGGCGCTTGCCCCCATGTGGCTTATCATGGCATGCAGCCGGTACTGCGCCGGCCCATCCCCAACAGAGGTCGGGCTGCTCTCCGAGGCAGTAGCTGAGGCAGCAGCGAGCCCCGCCTCCTCCGCAATATTATCGCGACTGAAGACGTAGTCTACCGCCCTTTCTGCGTTCATGCCTGTCTGCAAAAGCGCGTATCTGGCCACGGCCTTGTCTATGCCCATGCTCAGCAACATGAGAAGCGCCTCCTCATCCACCGCTTTTGCTGCCAGTGAGGTCGGTTTGTGTGGGAGATCCTCTTCCATGTCAGGCATCGCCACTTCGTCTGCCTGCAGTCCCGCACTGCGGAGAAACTCCAGATCAAGCTCCAGTGGAGCCTCCACGAACACGTCAAGTTTCTTGACCGTCATGGTTTCCATGTCGAAGTGCGCACGACGGACGAAGATGGGGATGACGTCTGGGAACGTCCCCAGTCGGGTGGTTTTGAAGTACGTGGCCGGAACCCCACAAGCACGGCAGCGGCAGTCTATATCTATCGTTTGCAGCAGTGACGTCAGGCACGCTTCTAAGGAAAAATGCGGACGGCTAGCGTTAATTTCCAGGTCGGTTAGATTGCGATCTCCTTCAGGCCTCTCCAGACCGCACTCCAACGGAATTGGCACGGAGAGGCAAGAGTCGAGCTCACGCGTGTAGCACACCTTGCGGCACGAACTACACTGCACACGGTACTCCATTGTCATCCTAAATACGTCCACCGGATGTGGAAGATGCACACCCGCATCGTGTGAGGGCTTAACGTAACGCCGCATTTGTTCCAGTAAATATAAAAAGTACTCATGTGCATCCTGTTGCTTCGCCGTGGAGAAGTCAGGATGCCTCTGGGCAAACACGCGTTTAAACTCCCTTGCTGTGATGCCGTTGGTGCGTTCCTGACCCTCCACAGAGAATTCGCCCGAGAGGAGGCCACTAGCAACTCGCTCGGTCTGGCAGCCGTGGCAATTGTAGGGATTTCCTCGGCAGGCGTTCTGGTGCCTGGTTTCGCGGCCGTGATAGAACGCCTCCCTAAACGGTTGCAGGGAAAAGAGGCACTGTAAAACCGAGGCCATGTAACAACTGTTACCGAAGTTATGCATCCCAGTTCGCCCAGGGCCAAAGACAGGATTGAGAAATTCCCCATCCTCCGTGATGCTCTTGAAATCGTACTGTGCAGAGTAGTCGTATTCCATCTCTCCGAGTGTTTTGGCTGTTTTCTTTGCAGTTCGAACATCAATACCAAAATGCTTCATATGTTCGGCAAAGTGCACGTCAGACACCTCGGTCTCACAGCAATAGCAATAAAAGTCAGCGCCTGACGGTGTCACCGTGCCAAGTTTAACAACAGCGGGATGCAAGGTGTGCGTGTAGTGCAACAAGGCATGCCCACTGCCCCCTGCCTGCTCACGTGGACATCCAATCGCTCCACATGTCATGCACATCCAGTTGTTGAGTTGACAGTCACACCCGTCAAAGGCACACTTCTCCGACGAAGTTGGGACCGCCTGAAAAGGGTTTGGTAGCTGCTCCAGGCATACAAGATGAGGACACTGCGGGCGCACAACGTCACAACCGTCCGCCGCGCCGGACTCCTGTGCACCTGTTGAAATTGCATTCAGGATGCACTGGTAACAGTCCATCGTCAGCCCCGGAGGGGAAACAAACCGCTTGGCGCATGCGGCACAGCATACGGCACTCTCGTACTCCTTTGGGGCCACAACCCCGAGTTTATTTACATCTTTTATCTCCTCTGCGTCCTCCTCCTTGCCGGGAAGCTCTCTCATCCAAACATACATGGTGTGTGAAAGGAAAATTGAGGTGTGCTTCTGCACGTGCTCAGCACAGAGCCCCATATGGCAACACATGCAAACTAACAACCCTCCCTCTTGTCGCCAATTCCGACAGCAGTAGGCGCACTCCTCCTTGTGCACCGCCTCCTGGTGGTGGGAGGGCACAATGACGGACTCATCCCAGCAATGCGCACAGGCCTCGTCTGTGAGATTAAAAGGTGGCATCGTTGCACCCGGATTAGCCTTTCACCTGTGTGCCGACTGTCGTAGTTTTGGCTGTGCTTCTCTTGCCCGTGTGCTACAATATCGTTGTTCCCTCGAAAGTGTGTGTGTGTGTGTGTGTGTGTGTGTGTGTGTGTGTGTGTGTGTGTGTGTGTG